CCCCAAAACCCCAAAACCCCAAAACCCCAAAACCCCAGGAGATTTTAGGGAGGTTGAAATTATAGGGGAGGGTGGATTTTATTGATATACTTGAGGGGTTGAGGTGAGTTCGAAGTTTATGTGGAGGAGGTTGTATTCTTGTTGGAGTTGGAGAAGGGAGGGTTGTGGTATGTTGTTGGCTGGATTGGTGGGTTCTTCATGTTCAGAAAAACTGGTGTCTTGGCCAATGCATATCTTCCCTATTGATTCTGATAAGCTGGAGGTGGAGATAATTCTGTAAATAGACCGAATTTCAGGCCCATAAGTGCTGAGGAGTTTACCGGAGCAGTTTCTATTATCTTTGATACTAAGAATGTCGATTCTCTGTTTATTTCTGGAGTGGAAAGTTCTTTGTATATTGTAGAGTCACTGTCTCAAGTTTACACTCTTCTAGTTCGAATTTCTCTAGGATTTGTATAGATCAAAAGACTCTGACTAGTTGTCTTTGAGTCAGTCTTACATTTGTCAGATAGAAAAATTTTGTGATCTTGGGGAGAAGATAATAAATTGATTTGGCAAACGGTGTGAAGCTCATCACATCTTGTGGATTATTCCAATCACCATAACATAGTTCAAAGATTTTGATATTAACTCCTTTGAAACTTTCTAAATAATCAACATATTTTTGATAAACTTTTTGATTCTTGACATAAACCCATATATCCATTTTACTCATCTCTGATCTTGATTTGAGCTTGGCTATTTTGAAGCATTTTGATTTCTTTTCTTCATCTAAATTTAACAAACTTCCTCACCAGTCTCTAATTCAACTCGCTCTCCATCACAAAGATCTCCCCAACCATGCTTATATATCAAAAGCATCTGATTTTCTTCCCTTAGCACACCTTCTTCCTTACCAATCCTCTCATCTATCTCCTCCTTCGACTGTTCCATATTCAATAAAATTATAACCAAACGGGGTTTTGGGGTTTTGGGGTTTTGGGGTTTTGGGGTTTTGGGGTTTTGGGG